TAAGAATAAAAAGATCGAAGAGAAAAATATATATATTGAATTCTTCTTTCATTATATTCATTATCATAATCCTCAATGATAAACATAGAGAAGTAAAGAAGATAAAACGAGAAAAAATAAAACATCAACAAATCTCTCGCCGATAAAAAGACAAGAAACGTGATGTATAATTGATGCAAAGCCAATGTTGATTCACATATGTAAGAAAATACAATCTTCAAGGAACCCACGTACGCAGCATAAATTTTCTGGAGTAAGGTCAGCTAAACTAACTCTCCGATTCGGTATCTTTCGGCCAAGACAAACAGTTGAGGTCTTCCTGGTTTCTCGATTCTGTGACCTGGTTTCTTGATTTTGTGACCTGGTATCAAGGTACTGTGACGTAGTATTTTGATTCTGTGACCTGGTGCCATGATACTGTGACCTGGCGACTCGATATCGTGACCTAGTGTCTTGATACTGTGACCTGGCGTCTCGATATCGTGACCTAGTGTCTTGATACTGTGACCTGGCGTCTCGATATCGTGACCTAGTGTCTTGATACTGTGACCTGGCGTCTCGATATCGTGACCTAGTTCTGATACTGTGACCTGCGACTCGATATCGTGACCTAGTGTCTTGATACTGTGACCTGGCGACTCGATATCGTGACCTAATGTCTTAATACTGTGACCTGGTGTCTTATTATTACGACCTGGTAATATTACACCATGTTCTTTATATTGTGACCTGATGCCCCGATGCTGTAACCTGAGGTCATTATCCTCTAACCTGGCACCTTCATCATATACCTGGTACAGCGACGGACAAAATGGTACAGCTACGTAAAAATTCTTTTAATGAATTGAAGCTTCGAATCTATCTTTCCCTATGTAAAAAAAAAGTGTGATATGAAGCGAATTTTCGAAACGGAATTCGAAACATGTATGATAAGAGTCATGACCGTGACTATACCGTGAAACTAAGGCAACGCAAAGACACTATGACCTGTTTCCATTATATCATGACCTGAGGCAGCCTACACTCTAACCAGGTGCCGTGATAGGTATGACACGGAGCTGTGGCACTATAACCTGGAGTAAATGTGTCATACACGTGGCAGTTAAGAAGATTTGAGGGTGATGTCTGACCTGTAGTGACTGAAACTATATATTATCCCAGGACATTTGGGATTTCAGATATATCGGGTATTTCAGTTATAATTGGCACACTATTTAGATTTGAATATGACGATAAAGATGCGCTTTGCTGGTTTTCGATAAACATTTGATAATAGTTCGATGGACAAAATTAACTGCAATGAGATGATGTTTTGTAGACATGTTGCATACAGCTAATCCTCATGAAATTCTCAAGATCATCTCTCCATTAGGAAAAAAATGTAGTGTAAATGTTAAGATTTCCTGACACTAAATCAGCTTATATATAAAAGAATGACAAAGAATACACGAAGACCAAAAAAATAATACATTATTTTTTTTAACATTAAGACAAACAAAACACACATATATACTGTGTGTGTGTGTGTACGTGTGTGTGTGCGCGTTTGCGCGTGTGTGTGTGTGTGTGTGTGAGTGTTCGAGCGTGCGTGTCTACACAACTTTACGATATTTTCGGGCTACCCAGGCAAAGTATACATAAACACTCATAACAATAAGCTTTTCAACTACCGTTATATTCCTAAAATCCACCGTAAAAAAAACTATATCAACACCACCACCAAAAAAAAAAAAAAAAAAAAAAAAAAAAAAAAAAATAAATATAATTTACCAAACACATCCCATTGAAATAAAACAGAAAAAACAGCTAAAAACATCAGCATCCGTGTCATAATAAAGGGTCCTCATGAGGGTGAAGGGGCGAGTGTCACCCTTCCGACACCCCATGCTTGTCTTTGGCCGCCGCCCGTCACCGACAAGCGTGTCACTACAGCCAAAATCACCATATTCGAGATCCTTCCATTCCCTGAAGCCATGAAAATGATGTGTCAGCTTTTTTTTTTTTCTTCCTCTTTTTATGACTGGATGTATATGGCAACCGAAGCCCGTTGGATATTTTCTTTTATTTCTTATTATTTCTTTTATCAATCTTTTTGTTTTGTGTTCCTTTTCCGTTTGAAATGGGTTAATATAAATCAACTATGGAACTAACATGGTATATGTTATAAATCTTCATCATAATCATCTCATCTTAATCAGCCAGCATTAAAAAAATACTTGAAAATTCAGATATCAAATACTTCGAAGATTTTTTTTTTCTTTATTGGTTCGAATGCTGATCTTAATTTTCCAGGATTTTTTAACGATTTTTAAACATTTTATTCCTGAAATTTCAGTTATCAAATACTCCGGTTTTTTCCAGAATGCAAAAATCGAGACATTCTGGTTCCACAGGACCCTAAAGAAATAATTATTCTCCAGATCTCTGTTCGAGAATTATTACCGGTTGAAGATGGTCGGGAGGACGCACGCTCTCGTCACAGCGCCGTCATGCCATTAATGTAATACCGAAACGTGTCAATTTTAGTCCCCGTTCGAGATCTGTGACGCCCCGCCCTTCAGGAGCAACACGCCCTTCGGACACGGCTTCCTAGGCGGGTCCTCCTCCTCCCGGCCAAGGACAGGCTCTCTGTTAACACTTACACCGGAGGCTCGAACGCGTGTTAAGGCGCCACGACATGAAATGGATGATAAGTTATGATTCTATCGTTCAGGAGAGATGAACATTATTTTGGTCGCTTTTAGGTTTATATCACAAGTTTTTTATTCATAAAAGCAAAGTCATCGTTATCGTCATCACGGTATTGACAATACTTCTGATATTTAAGAGAAACATGAAATAACAGTAATGATAGTTATAAAATCAATAAAAACAAAAAATATATAAAAATGACACTAATCTGACAGTATTTTTAAGATAGTATGCATAATTCTTGAAGAATCGGCTAATACATGTTCTGAAGATTACTTTTTTTTAGTTCAAAATGCAAAAATCGGGACATTCTAGTTTCTCAGGACTGTGAAGAAATTGTAAATTTAAGCAGATGAGAAATAAATATCTGAAGTAATTCAGATATTTAAAAAATATATTAATATTTCAGAATGGACACATACATTCTAAAAAAATAAACACACATATACGCCACATACACACATACGTATATTCACATATCTATATCTATTTATCTACCTATAACTATCTACACACACAAATTTATACATATATATATGTATGTACGTGTATACAAACTAAATATTCATCCATCTTTATGCACATACAAAGATATAAACATATACCTATTCAAAACATAAAGATAAAATAGTTACGATGATGAATGAAATAAAATGCGATTCCGAGACTGAAAGTTTGTCTGCAAATAAATACAATACCCACTAAGATGTCCACAAGGAAGGAGGACTTTCAAGATTACACAGCGAATTAGCATAAATATCCTCATGTAAATAATCTGGGCCACGGGAGGCATCTCTCCAGCACAACATTTAACCACGATGTTATTTTCTTATTTTCTAATGCAGTGTAAAACCGAAGTGAAATTGTCGATCGAGATGAAGTGTGCACATTTCTCAGTAAATAGGTAATACACATATTGATGACGTAAGTTATTAATGGAATGAAATGCAAAGGATCCTGTGTTGCAAATTCGTGTCTTTCAGATTTATGCAATGAAAAGGATGGGTGTTCTCCGGCTGTTTATATAGACATTACGACCAAAAAAGACAATTAGATCACGTGGCTGTTATGACCAACTGAAAATTTGTTAACAGTGTCGCGACAAGTCAAAAAAACAACAATGAAACACCACAGTAGACACTTCAAACCCGAGTCAAACATAGACACTTAATTTGAAGTGACCAAATGACATGTCGTTGACAAGAGACCCCTGCCGAAAAATACCCTACCACGCATTCCTCCCTTCTTTTTGCCACGTGAAAGAGTGAGCCAAATAACACCCTACGAGCGAGGGTGACATGCGAGCCAGCGATTTCCCGAACGCTCCCGCCGAAGCCTAGCGTGTCGGCTCTTGTCGGCTTTTGTCGGGAAAACCTCGCGCCGACACATCACCTTTTCATCCATCAAAATTTCGGAAACCTCATCCTCGGCGCTGACTGTTAATTATGCCTCTTTACGCGTGCGTTTCGGCTTCAAAAGGCAAAGCGCCCGTTCAGGGGAGAGCCACGCAGGGGGGATCGGGAGGTGACTACGGATGGGGAGGGCCTGGGGGGTGGGAGGGGAGCCAGAGGAGGAAAAAGGAGAGCGAAGACCGAAGTTGAAAGTGGAGGAGGAGGAAGCGGATGGATGAGGGAAAGGAGGGATAGAAGGTAGAGGAGGAGAAGGTAAAGATGAGAGAGAGAAAAATAACGAAGAGAAAGGCGTAGAAATAAAGAAAACAAACCTACGGACGCATGCATATATACCAACACTGTCAGACACACGCTAGGCCCTCAAAGTCCCCGACACTCATAAAACAAGCGAAATCCCTCTTCCCCCCCCCCCTTTCCCTCGCCCCTTCCCTCATCCTCATCCTCAACTAACCCTCCCCCCCCCTTTCCCCACCCCTTCCCTCATCCTCATCCTCATCCTAACTAACCCTCTCCCCCCCCCCCCACCCCTTCCCTCATCCTCATCCTCAACTTCCCTCCCCCCCACCCCCCTTCCCTCCTCTTTCCCTCTTCCACCCCCACCCCTCCCTCTTCCACCCCCACCCCCCTCCCTCTTTCCACACCCCACCCAACCCCCTTAAAACAATGCGATCGCCACATACGTCCCTGCCCAGCCGGCTCGCTGTCCTCCGTAGTCCTCCCTCCCTTTTACATAAGTCCGTCGCCGCCGCCGCCTCCGCCGCCGCCTCCGCCTTCCGGCCGCCTCGCACAAGGGCGGGAGTCGCTCGCCGGAGACGCGGGAGGTGGGACCGAGACAGCGGAGGCTCGGAGACAAGACGAATGGTAGCGTTGCATGTCGGTGGCACATGTACAACCCTC